TTTGGTTATATATTCTTTTCTAGATGGCAGAGGCACTCTACCTATGTGGCAGATCGGGAGCTTAATTCTACAGAATAACCAACTGATGGCTTTAGGGAGGTTTCAAGAAACACATTTCTGCGGGGAATCAAATTTTTAGTTGATTCCTTGGTAATGTTTTCGTAGTTGAAAGACAGGAGATATTCTTTACATTGATCTACGCTCATCTATCTTGTTTATTCTTTAATGTCGTGTTAGAGTTTGAATGAAAGCTCTAATCTTTATAGCGTGGTTCTAAGTTCTCGATAGGCTAATGGTTATTAGATCTATAAGTTTACGTCTTATATGTTATCTTTCAAGCATGTATTAAATTGTCTGATAACATAGAGAGATGGAAATAGCGCAAATTGGAGTGTTAATTGAATTAGATAGTAGAAAATTGATTCTTTTTTCTTATTTAATTGATCGAATATATTAATCTAAATTTTATGTTAGCATTATGCACATGTTATTATTACTGAAAAACTTTATGCATAAACAAGGCCTAAACCCATGGATGCTTTCGGAGGAAAAAGAATGCACATGACTCATTTGTTAATTTATTTAAAGAGTAAAATCTCATATTTTCTTCATGGTTGTAAAAAACACTCATCAATTAACATATGCACACAAATTCCCTTAATATAATATTCGTATAAGATTTATTTCCTTTGAAATATATGCATGCCCTAGCCCTGGAGGATGAATTAATATAGGTTTTAATCTTTTCTCCTTCCCAAATTAGTTGCTGGAAAAATATGAGGCAGATCAATAGTGGTATCAGAAAATATTTGAATTGACAAGAATCATGATGATACCACTTGTATCCTTTATCGTATGGCCTTGGTAAGTTTCAAAACCCGCACCATTATCTTTCCAACGATCATGGTAGACATTAGGCAGTCTCTTGATCGTGCATTATAGGGATTACTAAAATAAAAATAAAAATAATAATGATGATGATGATGATGATGATGAGGAGGAGGAGGAGGAGGAGGAGGAGGAGGATAATAATAATAATAATAATAATAATAATAATAATAATAATAATAATAATATACGAGGAAAGTCTTTATGTTGGACAAGTGATCTACAATAATATGTTTTTTTCTATTTCCTAACACGACAGTTGCTACTATCATTCTATCATGGGTGATAACGCCAACAGTAAGAATCCAAGGTATCTCGTTAGATAATGTAGCATTATTTGGACCATGGTTATCAGCGAATGTGGTCACGATAATACCCATCGGAATTGCAACAAAAGCACCAATAGAAATATATATTATCATCATAAAAGAATTTTACATTAGTAAATAATTAGTTATCTCTATCAGGTGACTTTGATTTTCTTTCCTATTTAATTGGAATCTGTTAAACTAAATTTTATACTAGCATTATGCACATATTATCATTAATAAAATAATTTACGCAAAAATAATACCTCACCCTAGCAGTGCTTTCAGATGAAAAACAAATGCACATAACATGCACATGACTCATTTGTTAACTTCTTTAAGGACTAAAATCTTATATTTACTTTACTGTTGTGAAAATAACTCATCAAGTAATATTAATCTCACTAGCATGCACATATATTCTCTTAATATAATATTCGTAATAAGATTTATTTACTTTGAAATATATCCATGCCCTGGTCGTGGAGGATGAGTTAATGTAGGTTTAATCATTTCTCCTTTGGCTTGTGCCAAATTAGTTGCTGGAAATATGAGTGTTCAAGGTTAGTATTATCCAACTAACCATTATTAGCATTTGTTATGTTGTAAAATAGGAAATATCAGAATATATTGTTTAAAATCTTTTGTGCTTCATATTGCATGTCACACTTAAACTAGTTACAATCTTGCATGTGATTCACATTATATTGAGTGAGATTAATGTTGAAAAGGCGCTAAAGTGAATTTCCCTTGCTTATAACTCCATGGTGCTATGGGGAAGTACTAGCACAAAACACTACCACAAAAAAGCCTTTTAGCGGCAATCATTTATCAGCAATTAGCCAATTACTGATAAAACAATTCTCTCTGCACAAGCACAAGCGACAATTGAACATTTGCCAAAAATCATGCCTTTTTACCAGCGATTCAAAGTAATAGTCAGTAAAGGTTACTAAATTAAAAGCCTATTTTGCTAATTTCCTTCCCCCTCAAGTTTTTTCTCGTAAAATGCTCTCTCCCTTTACCGCCGTCACGACCCAAAAACCAATCGTTGTAATGGCGCCTATTGTGAAACTAGGCAAGCCGCTACTCAACTATCTCAACACAGTAAAAACTTTAAAATATAGGCGAAAACAATTTAATATTTAAGAAAAACGCTCTTTAAAACTGAAATAAACCCGCAACACAATACAATCTATCCCAAAATCGGGGTGTCACCGAGTACATGAGCATCGATGTCAGAATACAATCTACTACAATGTCTAAGGAGTAAAAACTAAAGTACAGATAAAGATAATGAAGGAGAGTCAAGGCCTGCGAACGCCATGTAGCTACCTCGATAGTCTCTGAGATCCTATCTCCTTAATCAGCAGCCGCCGTAACCAGAAGTACCTGGATCTGCACACGAGGTGCATGGTGTAACGTGAGTACAACCAACTCAGTAAGTAACAAACCCAAACTGTGGGCTGAAAGTAGTGACGAACTCAACCGGCACAATTCAATACAGAAATAATAGTGCAGAAATGTAGACATGCTTTCAAGTTCAATAGATATCTTAAAACAGTAAAATGGATCAATCTAAATGATATGAAAAATATAACTCCTCAACCTCTACCATGCCAATGCAATGCTGTATGTGATGCACCATGCTGACNTCTCCAGATTCACACTCTCAAATAATCAACCACTCGGTACTGTATATGGCCTATACGGCCCAGGGAAGATCCATCACAGAACATATATATCACTGACTATAAGTCACCAGTACCGAGGAAAGACAATCCAGTCCTATGGAGAAGATTCATCACCATATAATATCAACCGCGCTCACTGGGGATGTGTGCAGACTCCGGAGAGGCTCCTTCAGCCCAAGCGCTATCATAAATCAGTATCACCACTGCGGTGTGCAGCCCGATTCCATAAATGTCACTCATAGTCAGGCATTCGGCCTCACTCAGTCATCAATCTCTCCATTCTCTCTCTCACGAACTCACAATGTCATGATACTAGCCCGAAAACAGTGATATCATGCATCAATAAACAACAACAGAGACTGCGATGAGATATGAAATGAATGAATATGACTGAGTATGAAATATCAATGAAATCGGTAAGACAACAACAAGAAACGGCCACTATGAGTCCAAACAGTATCGGCATAAAGCCTAAACATGATATCTAGCATGAGTGACAGCTCAATTACTTTATCACATGATGAATACACGTGTATCGACAAGATAAAACCACTATACGGTGCCATGGAGACAACCAGATCACAATTCTCACGATGCACGTCCGTCACTTGGCATTTGCGTCACCTCAATACCAATCACACAACACATAATTAGGGGTTTCAAACCCTCATAACAAAGTTTGAAAGTGTTACTTACCTCAATTCGGGCTAAATTCTACTCCAAAATGCCCTTGCCTCTCAAATCCGTCTCCCAACATCCCGAATCTAGCCACAAGTAGTACACCATAATCAATATAGGCTAAAGGAATTAATTTCACAATAAAAATACAAAATTATAGCCAAAATCTGAAATCAGCCCAAACCCGGTCCCCCGGGCCCACGTCTCGAAATCCGACAAAAGTCACAAAATCCGAAAGCTTATTCACTCACGAGTCTAACCATACAAAATTCATCAAAATCCGACACCATTTGGTCATCCAAATCCCCAAAATCCACTCTCCAATTTTCAAGCCCTAAATCCCCAAATTTTACTTTAAAATCTCGCTAATTAGGTGGAAAAATCAGTGGGAAACAAGATTTATGATCTAAAACGAGTATAAGAAGCTTACTTCAATAACTCCCTTGAAAATCTTATCCAAAATCGCCTAAGTCCAAGTCCAAAATGTTGAAATAAGACTAAAATCGCGAACCCTTGTTTATAAACCTTCTGCCCAGGTATTTCACACCTGCGGCTACAAGACCGCATCTGTGCCTATCGCAGGTGTGGAAAACCCATTGCACCTGCGGCTCAACCTCGTATCTGCGCACGTCTCTGCACTTCTGCACACGCCGCACCTACGCCCTTCAGCCCACTTCTGTGACCATCGCAGGTACGAGAAAGTCTTCGCACCTGCGACCTCTTCCCAACTCTTCCTTGGTCGCTTCTGCGATTCATTCCATGCTTCTGCGTGCGCACACCTGCGGTGCCCACTCCGCAGGTGCGATTATACCAGTAGCACCAGCACTTCAGCTGCTTCATCAACTCAAAAATCAATTCATTAACCACCCGAAATCAACCCGATGGCGCCGGGACCTCAACCAAACATACCAACAAATCTTATAACATCATACGAACTTAATCGAATCTTCAAATCACCTCCAATAACATCGAAAATACGAATTACACACGGATTCAAGCCTAAGAAACTTCAAAATTTTCAAATTTTACAAACAACGCCGAAACCTATCAAATCACGTCCGATTGACCTCAAATTTTGCACACAAGTCATAAATGACCCCACGAACCTACTGTAACTTTCGGAATCGGAATCTGACCCCCGATATCAAAAAGTCAACCCTAAAACTTCCCAAAAATTCGACTTTCCCCATTTCAAGCCTAATTCCACTACAAAACTCCAAATAATTTTTCGGATACGCTCCTAAGTCCAAAATCACTATACGGAACTACTGGAATCATCAGAATTCGAATCCGGGATCGTTTACACATAGATCGATCCGGGATCGTTTACACAGAATTCTATTTAAGAGACTAAGTATCTCAATTCACTAAGTATAAAGTATAAATGGAGCAGTAAATAGGAACAATGCTAGAACTCTCGAAACGACCGGCTTTGTCGTTACACGTGGGTACAAATACATTCACCCATAATAAGCCGCAAGATAGAGCAGATGCCTCCCCCTCTCTCTCCCATCATCGTCGGCGCTTAACTCATCTTTCTCACCACCACCAGCCACCATCACTAGGTAATTATCTCTACTCTATAGATCTCTCTCTCTCTCTGTTCCTCTTGATTTTGATTTTGACGACCCTTGTGCTCGTGAAATGCAAAGCTGAAGTGCGTAAACATTGATTTTCTGTTTGTAGTGAGTGCAGAAGAAGGCCGCCCTTCTGTATATTCTTATTCCAATTAGATTAAATATAGGTTTCATTGGTCATGGGTTAGGGTTTCTTTACTAGTCAAAATCCATTGCTCTTTTGTTGTTTCTTTGTACTTTTGGCCTACTTTGTTCTTCTTCCTTTGCTTGTAGGTCTCATAGGTCTCAACACTTTCACTTTTCTCCAATATCTATAGTAGAAAGGTTCAATCTAGACTTACCCTACTCTAATTTTATGCATAAAATTGATGCAAATATGAGAAGTAGGTAAAGTTTGAGATATATTTTGGGGAATTTGGTTTCTGGAAATATGAAGATTTCATTTGGTAATTGGATTCCCAATATGGGTAAGTTTCTTAAAGTTTGTTGAGGGCGGACCCTTTTGATGTAAAATCAAATTGATATGCATTTAAATTGCTTCTCATGAGTGCAATTTTATTACAAATAATTTCATTCACAATGGGTGAAGGAGAATTCACAATATAGGGATGTTTTTTAAGACTTCATACTTCGCTGTCTTGTGCCATCCTCTAAAAAAGTAAGTTCTCCCTTTTTATTGATAATGAGTTTTTGGATTAATGTCTAGTTCATTATTATATCTTTGAGGTGAAAATTTATTCTTGTATTGTTCCTAATATAATCAGGTTACTACATCTGATAAAAGATGTCCAAATATCTGCAGTAATGCAACTTGATTTAGGTTTGAGAGAATAGATCCTAACCAATATATTTTTTAAGCTATTTGATCTAGTTCTTTGTATTGTTCGTTAGACATGAATTGTTGACAGACTAGTTTTTCTTCACTTACTAACTCATGATAATTGAATATTTACCTTGTTTGAACAGAAACATTCATGGTTGTCTTCTCGAGTGCTCTCATATAAAGAAGAATTAGAAGGTAATTTCATATTCTGTTCTTAAATATTGAAGGTTGAAACCATATTACTCTATTTTTTATTGAAAAGTTATTCTAGTAATTGAAGTTATTCTATCCGTCTTGTTTTGTTTATGCGCCTGCGACTACCCTTTCAAGATATATAGAGATATGCATGTATCTATATCATTCTGTAATAATAATCTTGGATTCTTATCTTCATGGCATAACACTTCAATTTACTTATTAAACTATTTAGTTGGTATCTTATATGCATAACATCGACATTCGTCATTTATCAAGCCAAAACTTGTAAGGTATCTTATGTCCAAACTGTTAGTGCAAGTTATTTGATATATTCATCGTTTGCATCAATTCTCTTGAGATAGAAGATGTTTTTTCAACTATATTATGTTCAAATGGTTGGTGTAAGTAATTTGATTGCATGTATACCAACTTTGCTTTACATCAAATTCCATTTTCTGACATTCATCTAGCTAGTTCAGTTCCAAAGTTATCTAATTTTCTTTTATTTTGAAAAAAGGTAAAGAAAATGATTTCGTGAGTGTAGGTGATGTCATGAGATGATTATTTTATGGATTTTGCATTTCTAGCTGCTGAACTGTCCAAACTTCAAATTCAGGTACTAGTCTTTAGTCAACTGGTTATTAAGCTTATGTACAAATTTAAAGTTGTTAGGAGTGGATGACTGGACTTATATGCCATATGTTTATTGAAAGTTACCTCTTCCATGGTAAGTTATATGAATTCTAGTATTTATAAAAGCTTAAATATACTTCACTGTGTTTACTTTGTCAATTAATATATTAAAAAATTTAAAAGGAGAAAGAAAGTATATTCTTACACATAATTGAAAATTTCAAGCAGTCTTCTAATGCTAAAAATATTGAAGTTTTTACTGGAACAAAGCCTACTTATTAGTATGCCTTACTGTAATGTGCCGCTAAGGAAAATGAATCTTGAAATCGATGGCGTTTACTGCATTGAAGAGTGGAATTTATATGTAATTTTTTATCAGAAAGTTGCTGACTTAGTTGAATTACTTGCTCCTTCTCTGAACCTTTTTGATTAAAGGTTGTTCAAAGTACAGAATAGTTGGGCTTTAAACTCATAAATTGGCTTTGTAGCTATAATCTAAACTTGTATTGTAATTTTCTACTGCTATCACTTTCATGTAGTCTATCAATGCCTAGAGGAAAAAAAATAAAGCTTGTCTCAATGAAACTAGCATATTTAAGTTTCACACTATGGTATGTTCACGAGGAATAAACCACTCACTACTGCCTCTTGTTTGATGTTTCAATGAAGTGGTTTTAAGTGGATCTAAAATATTTCATGTGTTTACTTTAACTGTTAGGAGCATTCTAGGAGTGAAATTAAGTATTCTACTAAATTAAAATGTTTAGTATCTTAATTCTATATTCTAGAAAACTTTTGCCATTAATCCGCTGAAGGAGTCTCGTTGGGGTAGGCACTGAGTATGGATCCAACATTGACATGCTTTAGTAGGCTAGTCAGACAGGTTTTTGGCGCATTGGAACACAATCTGAAGTATATATTGTACTGGAGGTGAGAGATAATATATCTGATGAACTGAATGGCGGGCTATCAAATTTGTTAATTTGCGGGCTATGGAGCTTGTGGGTTTACGAAACAAGGGTCTGAAAAGCAAGTGGGGTGACCAAGCTGGGGAAGAAAGATTGGATTAATTACTTATTCAAGCTGTGTACTATTTATTTTACGGTGTCGAAACTCTAAAGTTAAGAATTTTGTCATTTTTATTTGTGGATGTAATGAAATATTATTTTTTTAGAATGAGTAAAAGTTGTGTGTTTATTTTATCATTTTAGGCCATAGCAAATGCTGTTAAGCTTTTACTGGCAATAAATTGGATATATGTTAACCATAACAAAAGATGTTAATAAAAGAAGTCACCATTACGGCAGTAAGTTGTCTTTACCGACAATAACAATTGCCCCTGAATGTATGAACTAAGATATTCCTTAACAGCTTTTAGTGGCCACTTCAATTGCCGGCGGATAATTGTCGTTAATTGTCACACCTTTTAGCGGCAATAGTTTGGGTCTTTACCAGCTTTCTTATTTATAGCCTCGGCATGTTTAGGCATGATTTTAGAGGCATGGACTTCTTCATTTCTTTCTTATTTAGATTTTCTTATATATNTTTCCTTGCTAGGTCTCTTCCGTTTGGTAGGAGACCATATCATTCAAATGAGCCAAAAGAGTGCCTATATTGGCATGGAATTTGCCATCCCCCTCATAGGCTGCTATTCAATGCTCTCATGGCCTTCTGAGTGGATTGAAGAATCATACGCCGAAGAGATTAGAGCGTTAGGCGCATGATGGGAGACGAGCATATCTTTGCTCATGTCCCTATCATCAATCCAGTCGTTTTGATGCTCATTTGTGAAGGCTTGAATATTCATGCCATTTGCTGCTCTAACACTGGGGATGTGCTTCTCAATTTATAATTTTTTGCTCGAGAGAGAAAAGAAAGATGGCGAAGGAGTTGAGGAAGACCTCTTCAAACAACAATAGTTATGGAAGAGGGTTCTTCCAAAAGATGGCAATGTTGAAGCCGTGTAGCTGTAAGTTATTTTTTCACTATAAAACTGTGATTTACATTGATTGTTCTTATGTATTCCTTAGATTTTGGGTATATGTTCTTTTCAAGGATGGCAGCGACACTCTATGTATGTGGCAGATCGAGAGCTTAATTCTGCAGAATAACCAACTGATGGCTTTAGGGAGGTTTCAAGTAACACATTGCTACAGGGAAGCAAACTTTTATTTGATTCCTTGCTAATGTAGACGTAGTTGAAAGACATGAGATATTCTTTACATTGATCTACGCTTATCTATCTTGTTTATTCTTTAACGTCGTGTCAGAGTTTCAACGAGAGCTCTAATCTTTATAGCGTGGTTCTAAGTTCTCGATAGGCTAATGGTTATTAGATCTACATGTTTACATCTTATATGTTATCTTTCAAGCATGTATAAAACTGTCTGATGACACAGAGAGATGGAAATAGCACAAATTGGAGTGTTAATTGAATTAGATAGTAGCAAATTGAATTTTTTTCTTATTTATTTGATTGAATATATTAACTTAAATTTTATGTTTGCATTATGCACATGTTATCATTGCTGAAAAACTGTATGCATAAACAATGACTAAACCCATGGATGCTTTCGGAGGAAAAAGAATGCACATGATTCATTTGTTAATTTATTTAAGGAGTAAAATCTCATATTTACTTCATGGTTGTAAAAAAAACTCATCAAGTAACATATGCACACAAATTCGCTTAATATAAAATTCGTATAAGATTTATTTCCTTTGAAATATATACATGCCCTAGCCGTGGAGTATGAATTAATATAGGTTTTAATCTTTTTTCTTTCCCAAATTAGTTGCTGGAAAAATATGAGACAGATCAAAACTGGTATCACGAAAATATTTGGATTGACAAGAATCATGATGATACCACCCGTATCCTTTGTCGTATGGCATTGGTAAGTTTCAAACCCCGCATCATTATCATACACCATAAACTTACCTCCGTCGTTAGTGCTTTCCAACGATCGTGGTAGGGAATATCAAAATAAAAAATAATAATAATAATAATAATAATCATAATGCTGATGATGATGATGATGACCATTATCAACAGAAATTGACGAGTTCTTAACTTTAATCAATGGATTTGGTAACGAACCAAAATCAAGTTTAAATTTGACAAGGAAAGTCTTTATGTTGGACAAGTGATTCACCATAATATGTTTTTCCATTTCCTAGCACGACAGTTGCTACTGTCATTCTATCATGGGTGATAACGCCAACTGTAAGAATACAAGGTATCTCGTTAGACAATGTAGCATTATTTGGACCATGGTTATCGGCAAATGTGGTCACGATAATACCATTCGGAATCGCAACAAAAGCACCAATAGAAATATATATTATCATAAAAGAATTTCACATTAGTAAATAATTAGTCATCTCTATCAAGCGACTTTGATTTTCTTTCCTATTTAATTGGAATCTAATAAACTAAATTTTATACTAGCATTATGCACATATTATCATTAATAAAATAATATGCGCAAAAGTAATACCTCACCCTAGAAGTGTTGTTAAATCGAAAAAGATGCACATAACATGCACATGACTCATTTGTTAACTTCTTTAAGGACTAAAATCTAATATTTACTTTATTGTTGTGAAAACAACTCATCAAGTAACATTAATCTCTCTAGCATGCACATAAATTCTCTTAATATAATATTCGTAATAAGATTTATTTACTTTGAAATATATCCATGCCCTAGTTGTGGAGGATGAGTTAATGTTGGTTTAATCATTTCTCCTTTAGCTTGTGCCAAATTAGTTGCTGGAAATATGAGTGTTCAAGGTTAATATTATCCAACTAACCATTATTATCATTTGCTATGTTGTGAAATAGGAAATAATTAAAATCTTTTGTGCTTCATATTGCATGTCACACTTAAACAAGTTATAATCTTGTAGGTGATTCACATTATATTGAGAGATTAATGTTGGTAAGGCACCAAAGTGGATTTCCCTTGCTTATAACTCCATGGTGCTATGGGGAAGTAGTAGCACGAAAGCAGTAAACATGGCAGCATCTCACAACTTCCGTTATGGTTGGAGATAGTCATTTGCTAGTAGCAAGTTTTTGGCTTTCCCACTACTTGTATTGTCTTTCTTTCTTAGTGAGATCATGTGGTTTCTCACTAAGAAAGGCGTATGGAGGATGCAATAGCGTCCCTTAAGATTGTCACGGCCCGAAATTTTTCACTGACGGGACTGTGATGGCGCCTAACATTTCACTTGCTAGGCAAGCCAACATTAGAGAATCATTAAATCAATTTCCTATTTCTATTCAGTAATTAATAATAATTAACTAAGATAAAATATAATAAGTGCGGAATATCATAAAACTGTATTAATTACTACCACCCGGATTTGGAGTCATAATTCACGAGCATTCTAGAATTTGCTACAAGTAATAGTCTGGAAGAAATACAACTGTCTGAATAAAAGAAAACAACAGTGACATAAAAGTAGACGGGGACTTCAAGGTCTGTGAACGCCGACAGATCTACCTTGAGTCTCCGGACAGCGGACCAATAACAAAATTTCGATCAACCTGAGCCGGTATCAAAGTCTGCACAGAAAGTGTAGAGTGCAGCATCAGTACAACCGACCCCATGTACTGGTAAGTGTCGAGCCTAACCTCGACGAAGTAGTGACGAAGCTAGGACAATATACCCACATATAATCTGAACAGTATAATCATGCTAGTGGCAACAACAGAAAATAAAGAAATAATGCAGAATAAAGGGAAGGGAACATAGAGTGGGGTAATACAACATAAAGAGTGAGAATAATGAAAAGACAGAATTAAACCGGAAATCCTTAAATGAATTGAGCAATTAAAACAACAGGGAAAAACTGCACGGCATCACCCTTCGTGCTTTCACTCTCTTCCTCACAATATAAATAATTCATGCACGGCATCACCCTTCGTTCTTTACACTCTTCCTCACAATATAATTAAATTATGCACGGCATCACCCTTCGTGCTTTCACTCTCTTCCTCACAATATAAATAATTCATGCACGGCATCACCCTTCGTTCTTTACACTCTTCCTCACAATATAATTAAATTATGCACGGCATCACCCTTCGTGCTTTCACTCTCTTCCTCACAATATAAATAATTCATGCACGGCATCACCCTTCGTTCTTTACACTCTTCCTCACAATATAATTAAATTATGCACGGCATCACCCTTCGTGCTTTCACTCTCTTCCTCACAATATAAATAATTCATGCACGGCATCACCCTTCGTTCTTTACACTCTTCCTCACAATATAATTAAATTATGCACGGCATCACCCTTCGTGCTTTCACTCTCTTCCTCACAATATAAATAATTCATGCACGGCATCACCCTTCGTTCTTTACACTCTTCCTCACAATATAATTAAATTATGCACGGCATCACCCTTCGTGCTTTCACTCTCTTCCTCACAATATAAATAATTCATGCACGGCATCACCCTTCGTTCTTTACACTCTTCCTCACAATATAATTAAATTATGCACGGCATCACCCTTCGTGCTTTACACTCTTCCTCACAATTCACAGAATCAATAACAATGGATAGAGGGAAGTTTTACAAAGAAATCAATATTTCATCAATGATTACTTTCACAATTTAGCATCTCAATCTCGAATCAATAGTCACAATTTTATCAACCTTGGTGGAACCGGATACAAGTCTCCCAACATTTCAAAAACAACAATAAGCATGGATAACAAGATTTATAACTAGAAATTTGCAAGAATGGAATTTCACTCGCATGCTATGACTCGACCACAAAGCATAGATGCTATGACTCGACCACAACGCATAGATTCTCGTCACCTCAACTATACATCGTATTCAATAATAAAACACGTAGCAAATACTCACACAATACCTATTCCCTCAAGCCAAAGTTAGACACAATACTTATCTCGCTCCGAAGGCCACTTAATTCTCAATCATAACTTTTCCTTTAGAATTCACCTCCAAACCACTCGTATCTATTCAAAAATGACTCAATGATATCAAATATTGCTAAAGGAATCAACTATATTTCATAAATTAAAGTTTCCAATTTTTTCTCCAAAAGTCAAAAAAATCGACCCCGGGCCCGCTTGGTCAAAACTCGAGGTTCACACCAAAATTCTTTTACCCATTCATCCCCGAGCCCGAATATATAATTGGTTTTGGAATCCGACCCTAAATTGAGGTCTAAATCCCCAAATTCCCGAAATCCCTAGTTTCTACCCTAACCCCTAATTCTACCATGAAAACTCTAGATTTTTGGTTGCAAATTCAACAAATGTAATGGATAATTGAAAGAAAATGGTTTAGAATCACTTACCAACAATTTGGGGAACAAATGACTCTTGAAAAATCGCCTCACCATTTGGTTTTTGAGAAAAATGAGTTTTTGGCTAAAATTCCGTTTTTGGATTCTGTTAAGTGCTGGGCAACATTGTTCATCGCATTCGCGAGAGCACTGTCACGTTCGCGAGAGCACTGTCGCGTTCACGAAGGGTACTGGCTGTCAAGCCTTCGATTTCGCGAGACCCAGCTCGCGTTCGCGATGATTACTCCCACCCGGCCTTCGCGTTCGAGAGGCATGGCTCGCGTTCGCGATGAAGGAACGACCAACCACTCCCCAGGTCCCCACATGCTTCGCATTCGCATTGAGCCGGTCGCGTTCGCGAAGGGTAAGTCCCCCATCACTTCGCGTTCGCGAAGAAGAAAACTTCAGCTGCCCAGTTTACTCTTCGCGTTCGTGAGAGTACCTTCACAAACGCGAAGAAGGACATGCCAGAACACAGACTCTGCAGAAAAACCAGATTTCCAAAGTCCAAAACATCCCGTGACCTATCCGAAATTCACCCGAGCCCTCGACGCTCCAAACCAAACATGCACACAAGTCTAAAAATATCATACAAACTTGCTCGCGCGATCAAATCGCCAAAATAACACCTAGAACAACGAATTTAGCACCAAATCGAATGAAATTCTCAAGAACACTTTAAAATTACTATTTTCTCAACCGAAGGTCCGAATCACGTCAAACCAACTCCGTTTCTCACCACATTTCTCATATAGGTCTTAAATATCATAATGAATCTGTACCAGGCTCCGGAACCAAAATACGGACCCGGTACTAACAATGCCAACATCTTAAAAATAATTAATTTTCAGACTTTTAATTTACATCAAAAATTCATAATTTGAGTTAGGAACCTCCAAATT